GAGCTGTCATTGTTTCTAAGCACACAATTCAACTGAACAGGGCTGCTGCGACATCTTCAAGTTTCCCAAGTTAGGAAAAGAAGTTCGGAGAGGATTGTTGCTTAGAGCCTTGAGTACAGTAAAATGATGAGGCAAGGTTTCTAGCAGCGGGTTGCAGCATTATATATAGCTGCTGAGTTCAAAAATCATCCACAAAGGAGCAGAAGAAATGCGTTACAGGAAACTGACGCACTTGTGTGGTTTGGTTTGGTGTGGTATGGTGTGTGTGTGTGTGTGTGTGTGTGTGTGTGTGTGTGTGTGTGTGTTCTGTTGTGAGTGTTGTGAGGGGGGGATAGACAAGTGCTAATCCAGCAGCAGTGTGCAAGTTATCATCAGATGAGTGTGCCATTCTGTTTGGTTTGTGACCTCCTCCTACAAAAGCCATAATACAGAAGTTTGGTCTTTTCAGTGTCTATCCCTCCTTTTGTCTGTTAATGGGTGGTACGCAGTTTATTCATGTAGGTGGAAATGATTTCTGTCTTAATGTTCTGAGCTTTGAATTTGTATGTTCTTTGTGTTTAATGAGTTTTTATTCCATAGTTAAATCTGTTGGGGTTTGATCAGAAAATCAAGATAGTAATTTCAACAGTGAGTGTTGTAACACTAAGATTTGTTAACTAGGTATAAAGTAAAGCAGGTAATTAAGAAGGCAAGAAAGTAAGCTACCTCAAAGGAAGCAGTTATAAAAATAGTCACCACTTTTAGACATGAAAGAACTAAAAAAAAGGGACAGAATTTATTGAGTTAAACACAGAGGGCAGGGCCCCTGGAGTTATATCCTTATAAAAAGAATGTTGCCATTCGGGAGGCAGAGGCAGTTGGATCTCTGTGAGTTCAAGGCCAGCCTGGTCTACAAGGTCTAGTTCCAGGACTGGCACCAAAGCTACAGAGAAACTATGTCTCAAAAAACCAAAAACAAAACAAAAACAAAACAAAACAAAAAGTGTTAATGAGGCTGATAAGGCTGCAGACTTGATTTTGTTGTCTAGGAAGGAACTGTTAGTGCTGGACCATAAAAGCAAGTCTGGGATGACGGCTGCAGGTGCAGCCTTTCCATTGACATTACCTGAAAAGGGTTTGCAGATTCCAAACCTAGCATTTTTTTCTTTTTTATTATTTTATTTTTTTATTGATATTTATTGAGCTTTACATTTTTCTCTGCTCCCCTCCCTTGCTCTCCCTCTCCTCTTCAATCCTCCCCCAAGGTCCCCATGCTCCCAATTTACTCAGTAGATCTTGTCTTTTTCTACTTTCTACTTCCCATGTAGATTAGATCTATGTAACTCTCTCTTAGTGTCCGCATTGTCTAAGTTTTCTAGGATTGTGGTTTGTAGGCTGGCTTTCTTTGTTTTATGTTTAAAAACCACCTATGAGTGAGTCCATGTGATAATTATCTTTCTGTGTCTGGGTTACCTCACTCAAAATAATGTTTTCTAGCTCCATCCATTTTCCTGCAAAATTCAAGCTGTCATTATTTTTTTCTGCTGAAAAATGTATGTACCACATTTTTCTTATCTATTCTTCAGTTGAAGGACATTTAGGTTGTTGTCCAGGTTCTGGCTATGACAAAGCTGCTATGAACATAGTTGAGCACATGTCCTTGTGACACGATTGAGCATCCTTTGGATATATACCCAAAAGTGGTATTACTGGGTCTTGAGGAAGGTTGTTTCTAATTTTCTGAGAAATCGCCACACTGACATCCAAAGGGGTTGTACCAGCTTGCATTCCCACCAGCAATGCAGAAGTGTTCCCTTTTCTCTACAACCTCTCCTGCATAAGTTGTCATCAGTGTTTTTGATCTTGGCCATTCTTATAGGTATAAGATGGAATCTCAGAGTTGTTTTGATTTGCATTTCTCTGATGACTCAGGATGTTGAACATTTCCTTAAGTGTCTTTCAGCCATTTTAGATTCCTCTGTTGAGAGTTCTCTGTTTAGGTCTGTGCTCCATTTTCTTTTTTTATTGGATTATATGATCTTTTGGTGTCCAATTTCTTGAGTTCTTTGTGTATTTTGGAGATCAGGCCTCTGTCTGATGTGGGGTTCGTGAAGATCTTTTCCCATTCTGTAGGCTGTCGTTTTGTCTTGTTGACCATGTCCTTTGCTTTACAGAAGCTTTTCAGTTTGAGGAGGTCCCATTTATTAATTGTTTCTCTCAGTGTCTGTGCTACTGGGGTTCTATTTAAGAAGTGGTCTCCTGTGCTAATGCCGTCAAGTTTACTTCTCACTTTCTCTTCTAACGGTTCAGTGTGGCTGGCTTTATGTTGAGGTCTTTGATCCATTTGGTCTTGAGTTTTGTGCATGGTGATAGATATGGGTCTATTTTTATTCTTCTACATGTTGATATACAGTTTTGCCAACACCTTGTTAAATATGCTTTCTTTTTTTTATTTGATATTTTGCTTCTTTGTCAAAGAAAGTTCGAAGGTGTGTGGTTTAATATCTGGGTCCTCGATTCAGTTTCTTTGGTCCTCCTGTCTGTTTTTATGCCAATACCAGACTTTTCAGTACTATAGCTCTGTAGTAGAGTTTGAAGTCAGGGATTGTGATGCCTCCAGAAGTTCTTTATTGCACAGGATTGTTTTGGCAATCCTGGGTTTTTTGCTTTTCCAAATGAAGTTGAGTACCATTCTTTCGAGGTCTTTGAAGAATTTTGCTGGGCATTGTCTTGACTCTGTAGATTGCTTTTGGCAAGATTGCCATTTTTACTATATTAATTCTGCCTATCCAAGAGAATGGGAGATCTTTCCACTTTCTGGTGTCTTCTTCAATTTTTTTCTTCAAAGATTTAAAGTTCTTGTCATCCAAGTCTTCCACTTGTTTGGTTAGAGTTACTCAAATATTTTATGCTGTTTGTGGCTATTGTGAATGGTGTTGATTCTCTGATTTCCTCCCCAGCCCTTTTATTATCTGTGTACAGGAGGGCTACTGATTTTTTTTGAGTTAATCTTGTATCCTGCTACATTGCTGAAAGTGTTTCTGAGTTGAAGTTCCTTGGTAGAATTTTTGGGGTTGCTTATGTAAACTATCATATCATCAGCAAACAGTGAGAGTTTGACTTCTTCTTTTCCAATTTGTTTCCCCTTGATCTCCCTTTGGTGTCTTATTGCTCTAGCTAAGAGGAGGTGCGGTTTTTGAACAGGGAGAAAATGACTGGTCCAGAAAACTGTTCTCTGAAAATGACATCAGTAGCACATTTTACATGCTTTGCCTTTATTTCTCTGGAAATTCATTATATATTTGAAATTTATTTTTATCTGTGATTTGATCTATATTTGCATACTGTTATAGCATAATTTTGTGTTATGAGAAACTTTGTAAACATTTATTATTAAAAAGAATTGGATTCTATAAACTTTCTCATTCCATGTCTGGTGTTCACTCCCCCTTTATTTCAGACAGTCTGTTTAGCAGCTCTAGTCGCTCCTCAAAGATCTTCTTGGATGTCTATCTCAGCTCTTTCTGGCAGTTGTAGAATCTCTTGCTGTAGAGCACCATTGTTTAGTGAACATTTTGTGTGTGTGTGTGTGTGTGTGTGTGTGTGTGTACACCTTAGAAGACCTCATTTCCCCTTTGAGTTTTATAAATGCTGTCTTTGTGTTGTTGATGCCCAGATTTATATCTCTGGCTGTGACCTTTGCAAAATTAATTTCAGTACACACAAAAGTAAATCCTAGATATTTTCCTTTTTAAAGTCCCATTCCCCCTCAAATTAACGTGTTAAATACCAGGTGATTAACTTTTACTTCAGTTTTAGGTTAATTTGTTTCTTGCATTGCTTAGGGAATATGACTTGTTTTATTTTTACTTTTGAAATTCATTAGTGATTTTCAGTGATTTGATACCTGAAGGGTGAGTTAGATTTACCTGTTTTTCATTTAATATGTACGGGTGTTTTGCCTGCATGTTCATCTGTATACCACATGTGTGCCTGGTACCCACAGAAGCCAGAAGAGGGTGTCAGATCCCCTGGGACTGGAGTTACAGACAGTTGTGAATCACCCAGGTGTGTTGGGAATTGAATCTGGTTCCTCTAGTAGAGCAGCCAGTGCTCTTAACTACCTCCCACCACTTTTTGAGGCAGGGTCTTCCTATGTAGCCCTGACTGTTCTGAAACTTACCATGTAGACCAGACTATCAAGAGATAGTCTGCCTCTGCCTTCTGAGCACTGGGCTTAAAGGTGCGTGCCAACACTCTAGTTTTTCATTATCTAACAGTATTTTTAACTTTCTTTCCTTCATGCTTCAGCCTTCTAATAGCTAGAGTTATAGACATGGGCCACCATACCCTGCTTAAATGTTTGTTATTAATTTTTTTTAGTCAATCTTCTGAATGTGATAAAGCAGGATTGTGTGTATACACGATCCATTTCTGTTCATATTGTTGTTTCACCTTTGTTGTTTGTGACCTACCAGTCACAAACTACATAGCTAGTTTGTTATTATTTTTATCTTAACGGGATAGATGTTTGCTTAGGATATGCCAGGCCTTAGTACTTGAAAGATGAGAACAATAAATAAGGAAAATTTATTTAGAGTCCTTTCAGTATGTACATGGGTATATTTTTTACAATATCACCAATCATAAAATCTCTTTTTAATATTTAATGGCTTTTAAATATAATCACAGAAGGAATTGTTAACCTTAAATATTATTATTGTGTGAACATAAATTGTTCATTATTTCAATACTTAGAAATGACAAAACTCTTTGTGTATTGTTACTATATATGTAAAAGGGAATGGGAGAGTGGAAGAAAGTAGAAAGGGAAGCATGGAGGGAAAATTCGCGTGTCATCACTATTAAATCACTCTGTAAATATCAGTAGTGTATCTTCAAGAGCAGGATACAAGTAGTGTTTTTTATTTTAGCACCAAGCCTGACGTTCCTGGTATATAATATTCATTAAATGTTTGAAGAATAAGTAAAGAGACTTTTTTCCCTTTTTCTCTCTGAAGATTTCCATGGAGAATGATTATCTGGGACCTCGAAGAATTGAGAGTCTACAAAAGGAAGACGCTGACTGGCAGCGGAAAGCTCACATGGCTGTGCTGTCTATCCAGGATCTCACTGTCAGATACTTTGAAATAACAGCTAAAGCACAGAAAGGTAAGTTTTTCGGTAAGATTCCTTAGGCATTTTTTGATGATCAATAATTTTTTTTGTGTTTAGAATAATTATATAGAGTTGGGTAAATATCACTCACCCTAGCACAGAGTAACTATTATTAGCAAGTCAAGGTCTCCTTTCAGTTCCTTTTAGGCACATGTGTCTACCCATATGCATTCTGTAAATCAATAAAAAAGCTTGAGAGTACCTGCTGTTGGAGGAGCCACCAGAAAAGACTTCTCAGACATGGGTTGAAGTCTTTTTTAGCTGGCTGTCAACTTTACTGGGTGTTGGGGATCCCAGTGTAGTCCTGAACCTTTTTTCAGAGGGAGCTTTTAAGCACAGAATCTGTGTTCTGAGTTGACATACTTCAGATGTGGAACTAAAGAAGCCAAAAAGCAAGGTTAATCCATTTAGAGATGTTCTCAATATTAGGTACTTTGAATTGGGTCTTTGTTTTCACTTTGGCAGGTGGTACTGTTCGCATGCTGAGTTTTATGGCATAAATGGCACTTCCGTCATAGACTCAGTTGTGCCAAAATCTGGGAGACTACTAAGGTCTGAGGCCGGCCATGTTTCAAGTACAGAAACAGACACAGTGAGATCGTTTCATCTTGGATAGAGCCAGTTAATGGATAAACATAACTGAAGCAATTAGCTATTTATATACACATAAATGAAGTTTCTTACAAAATTATACTTTAAAGACTTTAAAATTTATCATACTTAAAACAGAATGTTTTTGCCCTTGTAGTATACTCTTTTGATCTTACAGTTGCTGTTATATATGAGACAATTTTAAAAGATGACCAGAAATTTTAAAAAGAGAAATATATTTGATACAAAGCAGACAATAGGGATGTTTTCTTTGAGACCTTAAGATTGAGGTTCAAGGAGATGCTGAGTTGAAAGCTTACAGATTTCATGCCGCATTAAATGATAAAAAGGTTCTTCCTCTTGGAGTAGTTTAGACTAAGAGTAAGCACAAACTTGAATTTCATTGCTAATATCTTGTTACATCTGTAATTTGTTGTCTGTGTGTGTATGATGTTTGTCTGTTGTCTTTTCCTAACAAAGGATTTTTCTCCATATTTATTGAACAGTACAGAAAACATGATATGGGAAAGGAATGAATTTTCTTCTATAAACATTTTAGAGTTTTACAAGAGATGTTTCACTGATATAATATGACCCAAAATAGTACTCAAAACTGCAAACATGTTATCAGCCTATCTCTATATGTTGCTTCCAACATTTATAGTGGATGTTTGTTTTCCTTTAAGGTTGCTCTCAACCTGTTGGCTGCTTCCAGCAAATGATTACTACAACACACACATACATGATTTTGAAACAGGGACATGGAGGTGTATATAGTAAAAGATCAAAGCTACATGTTGGGAGAGGATGCTAGTTCATTTCCCACCGCCAGGCAGCTCAGTCCCTAAATAACCACACAAGCTGTATTAATCAAATCACTGCTTGGCCCATTAGCTCTAGCTTCTTATTGGCTAACTCTTACATCTTAATTTAGCTCATTTCTATTAATCTGTGTATCACCATGTGACTGTGGCTTACTGGCAAGGTTCCGACTTGTCTGTGTGTTCGCAGTTACTGCTGTCTTACTAACTCTGCCTTCTTCCAAAATTCAGTTTAGTTTTTCCTGCCTAGCTCTATTCTGCTAAGCCACTGCCTGAAACAGCTTCTTTATTCATTAGCCAATAGCAACACATACAGAAGGACTTCCCACACCAGCTATATATTTAGCTTTTTTTGCAATATGATTACATTGAAAATTGAAGGTATAGTAAAGGTGGGTTCATTGTTTTTTTTTTTAAGGACAAGTTAGACAGACTGAACAAATAATAGATTGAGCATATAGTCAAGGCATGTTTTAACATGGTTGTAAGTTCTGACAAAAATTCAGTTTTTGAAAACAAGAGATATTTTCAGGAAAAAGCTGTTCCCTCACTTAAGATTCCCTAGGAACAGCTGTGACTATAGCAACAAAGCTCAGAGAGGATAAGAAAAGGGAGTGCATCCTCTGCGGAAGCAAACTCCTTATCTCAGGTTGGGAACATAGGTGATTCTTAAAGACTAAGTCAAGGAATAACAGTATTGTTGAAGTAACCACCAGAGGCTTGAAGTAAGCTGGCTATATTTGAGCATCAGTATAGGAATGGGAGCAGTAGGCATAAGGAGCTGACGTACAGTTATCTTTTAACATGAACATAAATTATTATGAATTCATTTCTTCTTAAAAGAGTTGTGGGGCTGGAGAGATGATGGACCAGTAGTCAAGAGCATGATTTTTCTTCCAGAGGACCTGGGATCAATTCCTAACACCCATGTGGTGGCTCACTCTGTTGGTTAATTCCAGTTCCAGGAAATCCAGTGCCCTTTTTGACCATCATAGACACCAAGCACACATGGTATGAACAGACACACATGCAGGTAAAACACCTGCACATGTAAAAGAATTTCTGAAATTTTTATGGCAAAAAAATTGCTAAATTCTTGTCTTAGTATTCTATTGCTATGACGAGACACCATGGCCATGGCAACTCTTAAAACGGAAAATATTTAATTGGACTGTGTAGCGTGGGGGCTGCGGGCAGGCCTGCTTTTTGTCCCGCCTGGCTCCCGCACGGCTAACTTAGCCCCGGAAATAACAACGCACAATTGTATTCATCTAAACACTGCCTGGCCCATTATCTCTAGAGAGTTAGTTACTGGCTAACTCTCACATCTTATGATTAACCCATTTCTAATAATCTGTGTAGCACCATGAGGAAAGATTCAGCATGTCTGACCTGGTGGCTGGCTTCATGGCATCTGCCTCATTGCCCTCTTCCCAGCATTCTGTTCTGTTAACTCCACCTACCTAATTTTCTGTCCTATCAAAGGGCCAAGGCAGTCTCTTTATTAACCAATGAAAATAACACACAGACAGAAGGCCCACCTACATCATTTCCCCTTTTTCTATTTAAACAAAAAAGAAAGGCTTTCACTTTAACATAGTAAAATTGCATATAACAAAACAGTTATTGAATAAGAATTACAGTTACAATATTTATATCTATTTCATCTTTATCATAATAATGGAAAACTATAACTATAACTAACTATTCTTCAACTCCATCAAAGACTCTAGAAGGATATAATATTACCTAAGTAAACAAGAAGCAAACAACTTCCAAAACTCTAGAAATGTTTTGGAACATCTTGCTGCCTGGACAGTCACCCAAAGTTCCTCTGTACTGTTTGGGCATCCATATTCACCCTACAGGCCCATAGTATTCAGAGACATTTCCATGAAGCAGGAAATTTCATTCAAAGGCAGTTCAGTCACTATCTGCTGTGTCCTGCAGAATGTCTCCCAGACTCTTTCATGAATCAGGAATCCCGAAAGATCATCTTACCTTTAGGCAAGTTCAGCAGTCCTCTCTCTGCGGGTTCTCTGTGTCCTGTTTATACAACAGTCCAGGCAAGAGCAGTTTCTTGCCCAAATGGCTAACCAACTCCATAAGGAGCCTCTTCGATGCCCATCTTCCTCTTGAAGTAGATTGGTGCTGCCAGGAGCAGACGTGTCTCATTGTCATGAAAAGCCCTAAGTTATTAAAACATTAAATGCCATGTTCTGTAGTCTTTGAAAGACATGAAGAATGCCTATCTGAAATATATCTATGCACATCTAGAAAATCAAACTAACATTACTACAAGTTTGACTATTATCGATTATTATTCATTAACAACCTATATTTTTAATTATACATTGTATTTTTAAATGAACTACACAATTACAATACCTCAATCAAGATCAGAAATATATACATATAACAAAATTGACCTTAAAATCCATACCAATGCAAATTATTCATATCTATATCAGGGCTGACTTACAGTTTAGAGGTTTAGTCAGTTATCATGGTGAGATGATAGCATGCAGACAAGCATGGTGCTGGAGATGGAGCTGAGGGTCCTTCATTTCAATCTGCAGCAACAGGAAGTGAACTGTGTGCTGGCGGTAGCTTGAGCATAGGAGACCTCATACTCCACCCCCATAGATACATACTTCCTCTATGAGGCATATATACTCCAACAAAGCCATACCTTCTAATAGTGCCACTTCTGTGGGGCCATTTTCTTTCAGACCACCACATTCCACTCTTTTACCCTCATTATGATAGGCATGTAGCCATATCATTGTAAATGTATTTTTACAAAAACCCTTTTAGTCCAAAAGTCCTTTTAGTTTGTAACATTTCAAACTTAAAAAAGCCCAAAGTTCAAAGTCTTTTCTGAGATTCATGCAATCTCTTAACTGCATTCTCTTGTAATATCAAAAAGCATATCACATACCTCTTACATATAATGGTATAGTATATACATTATCATTTCATAATGGAGGAAAGGAAGAATGGTGAGAAAATACTGGACCAAAGCTCAAGACAAAAAAACAGCTGTGCAAACTTCTAACTGTGCAATTCCATATCTGATGTCAACATTCTTCTGATTTCCAACTCCTTTTAGCTTTGTTGACTACAACACATTTCTCTCTTTTGGGCTGATTCCACTCCCTGTTAGCAGATTTCCCACATCTGACTTCTCCAAGACAGTCCAGGTTTCACCTTTATAGCTTCACACAATGGCCTCTCAGGGCTTCTGTACAGGGACATCCCTGCCACATACCTGGTCTCAGTGGCTTTCTTTAGTCTCATAGGAAGATTCCATAACCCCTGTCTTCTATCCTTCACTCTAAAGCCAGAATCACATGACTGAAGCTGCCAAGTTCTGGTGGCCTATCACAGCAAAACCCCCAGTTCCTGGTACCAACTACTGCTTTAGTTAGGTGTAGGTAGAGTTTTCTTGTACTGGTGATCATTTCCCAAATAGCCAACACTGAGACTTAATATTACTTATAAATGCTTGGGCCAATAGCTCTGGCTTATTACTAGCTAACTCTTACATTTAAATTAACCCATATTTTGTATCTACGCTCTACTTTGTGGCTTAGTACCTTTTCTCAGTATGGTATGCTCATCTTGCAACTGCTGGTGACTCTTCTGACTCTGCTCCTTTTCACCCCAGCATTCTCTCTCTCAGTCTGTCTCGCCTAATCTCTTCCTGCCCAACTATCAGCCAATCAGCTTTTTTTTAACAGTGAGCACAATATGTGTTTACAGTGTACAGGATTATTCCACAATAGTTAGGTGTCTACTGCTGTGAAGAGACACCGGGACCACAACTCTTATAAAGGAAAACCTTTAATTGTGCTTACAGTTTCAGAGGTTTAGTCCATTATCATTATGGTGGGATATGGTAGTGTGTAAGCAGACATGGTGCTGGAGAAGGAGCTGAGAGTTCTATATCTTGATCTGTAGGCAACAGAAAGTGAATGACTCACTGTGCATGGTTTGAGCATATATGAGATCTCAAAGCACATTCCCACACAGTGACGTACTTCCTTTAATAAGGTCACAATCTTATTAAAAGCCAAACCTCCTAATAGTGCCATTCCCCATAGGGGGTCGTTCTCTTTCAGAATACCACAATTCTATATTGTAAAGATGGTTAGGACAAAGTAACAATACAAAATTAATCGCCTTTGAAAATATAAAAGGAATGTCACAGTGAGTCTCATTGCATTTTGAACTAATCTAATTGACATGCTTCATTTATTAAAATGTGATTAGGTAGAAAGATACAGAGTTAAGGTTTCAGGTGACACCACAGTTAATGGTCCTATCAGTATTTTTTAGAACAGTTTATTATTACTTTTATGCTTGCACCTATGTGATATATATTTAAAATGTGTGTGTGTGTGTGTGTGTGAGAGAGAGAGAGAGAGAAAGAGAGAGAGAGTATGAATGAATATGTAGGTTCCCATGGAGCCCAAGGCATTAGCTCTGCTGGAGCTGGCTTTATATGTCTTTGTGTGCTGTCTCATGTGGGTGCTGCTAATTGTCCTCTAGAAGAGTGGTGGGTGCACCTAATCACTGAGCTGTTTCTCTAGTTCTGCTTTTTTTAAACTGGAAAACATTAACTGTCTGTCAATAGTTAGCATCTGAATCAGGCCTATGTTATTACAAACTAAGACATTATCCCTTTCTAGATGGTATTGTCACATGCCTTTAATCCCAGCACTTGGGATGCAGAAGCAGGCGAACCACTGAGTTTTGGGGGAAGGAAGAGGTTTGTGTTATCTTTTCATAGCTGATGGTTGCATTTTTACCTTCTGGATGAGAGCTGAAATAGTGTGTGGCATTAGTTTGGTTGTCATAGAATTTTTCGAATATACATGATGAACCATGGAATGTAGGATTGAATGTTTAGAATATTTAGGGCTTAGATTTCAACTAATGCATAATATGCTATGCATTGCACTTTAACATGTTCACCCCCATTCCTAAATGTTATTTTTGTGATTAATTTTTGTTGTTTTATTGAAACAGGGTCTCTATGTAGCTTTGGCTATCCTGTAACTGACTCATTATGTAAATGAAGCTGGCCTCAACTCACCATGCCTAGCTTTAAGCTATTTTTTAAAAAAATGATTATTTTTTTTACTTATGTATATATATGTGAGTCTGTGTGTTTATGTGCACCACATGTGCACAGAATCCTGAGGAGACCAGAAAAAGGCATTCGATTCTCTGGAGCTGGTAATTGCAGTTAGTTGTAAACAGCTGTGTGGGTGCCAAACTTAGGTCTTCTGCAAGAACAGTAAACATGCTTATCTTCTCAGCCATCTCCCCATCCCACGTTCAAGGTTGATTCTGTTTTGTTTCCGTCTGAAATTCATTCTGTAGACAAAACCTTAGGAGGTTTACCTGCCTCTGCCTTCGGAGTGTTGTGATTAAAGGCATGCAGCATTGCTCAAGCTAACAGAGAATATACAGTATTAGACTATATTAGCGACATTAAACATAATTTATTGTGGGAATCAGTGAAATCTAGCACCTTAGTTCCATAGTGTCTAGTAGTTTTGGGCCTTAACTATCTCTGCTAAATTATTATTACCAGCTGTGTATGATCGGATGCGAGCAGATCAGAAGAAATTTGGCAAAGCATCGTGGGCAGCAGCTGCAGAACGCATGGAAAAACTCCAGTATGCAGTTTCTAAGGAGACTTTGCAAATGATGAGAGCTAAAGAGATTTGTCTGGAACAGAGGAAACATGCATTGAAAGAAGAGGTAACAGGAGCCGTCAATAAAATATATAAAATGTAAAATATTAAGATTTGTGTACATTAGTTTCTTAGTTTTGATAGAAATATTTTTTGATACATTTTTATATAATACTTTATAACACTGATTATACTGCCAGTTTTTTTATGCATTTGTGTGTTTGTGTTTATGCACGAGTGCAGATGTAGATGCACATATTTGTATGTGTATGCACAAGGGTAGTCAGCCTTGGGTGTTATTCCTTAGTTGATGATCACTTCATTTTTTGAGAAAGAATCTTTTACTGTCCAGGAATTGTCAATTAGGCGGGGCAGGCCGACCCAAGGCTCCATCGTCTCCAGCACTGCGATTTCAAATCCATGCCACCATACTCAGCATTTTTATGTGGGCTCCAGGGATTGGATTCTTAGACTTGCACGCTATTTTAGTTTCTTTTTGATGCTGTGATAAAATGTAGACCAACAGAAACTAGGGGGATTTATTTGGTTTATAACTTGAGGTGACAATCCATACCTGAGGGCTGTGAAGGCAGGAGGTTCATCCAGAAGCCGTGGAGGAATGCTGCTTGCTTACTTGTTCTTCCAGTGGTTCAGGCTCATATTCAGCTAGTTTGTTTAAACTGCCCAGGATGGCCAGGTATAGTGACACTGCTGCTTTAATCTGAGCAGTCAGGAGGCAGAGGCAGGCAGATCTCTGGGTTTGAGGCCAGCTGATCTACAGAGTGAGTTCCAGCACAGCCTGATCTACACAGAGAAACACTGTCTGGGAGTGGGGTGGTGACAAAACAGCGCTGCTCAGGGAATAGTACAGGTGATTCTAGGCTGTGTCAGGCTGACAGTTACTGATAACTAGGATACACGGCTCCCTTGCTATCTCAATTACTTTTTATACCTGTGATAAGACACCATGATCAAGGCGCCTTAAAATGAAGGGAGTTCAACTTTGGGATCATGGTTTCAGAGGATTACAGCCTCTGACCAATCATGGCAGGAGTATGGCAGCAGTCAAGCAAACATGGCACTGGAGCAGTAGCTGATAGCTCCCATTTCAGTCTAAAAAGGAGCACAAGACAGAGAAAGCCAATTGGGAATGGTGATAGTCTTTTGAAACCTCAACACCCATTTCCAGTGACATACATCCTCCAGCAAGGCCACACCTCCTAATCCTTCCCAAACAGGTTACAAACTGAGGACCAAGCATTCAAATATGGGGGCGTTATCATTTAAACCACCATACTTTGTAGCCCATTTTCATATCTTTTTTTGTGAGATGTTTGTGATGTCACCCACTTCAAGATTGCCACCTGTAGAAGATCTGGACACATGGTTGGTATCTTTGCCTAACAGTAGACAGCTGTACACTAAGGAGCAAGAAGGTCAATGGAATAAGGTCCAATGAAACTTCAGTGTTTTTAAAAGCAAGTTTCACTGCCAGAACTTTAGGAAGAGGCGCACATTTAGGAATCAGTAAATGTTAAGGACTAGACATATGTTTTTGAAAATGAGGGCATTGAGTAGTAACTGCAGATTGAGGGTAGTGTGGGAAGTAAGCCAGATCTAGATGCTTACAGTCAGGCTTCATATACTCTTCTGTCAGTATTTAACAGGAAGAAGTGTTATCGAGGGCCAGAGAGGTGACTCAGTGTTCAAGTACACTGCCTACTTTTGCAGAGGATTGTGTTTGATTTCCAACATCCACATGGTGCCTTAGGTGGCAGTCACCCCAGTCCAGTGGATTTGTTGGCCTTGTCCAGCTTCTGTGGGCACTGCATACCTATAGTGCACAGACATACATGAAGATAAAACATCTATACATGTAAATTATTTTAAATTTAGGTATTTATTAAATGTTGGACTTTTCTGCTTGCTTTCCCTTATCAGCTTTATACCTTGGTATAATTGTTTATTTAGTAAACATTATTATTATGTATATGAGCTAGAATTTCCCTTTGCGACCTTGCCTATTCTCCATTTCTCCAAAGCAGATTTTTTTTTAAATTTTTAAAATATTTCTGTGGTTTTATTTGCACATTTAAGTGTCCATGGTTATAAGTAGTTTGTAAGCTGCTTGTTGTGGGTGCTGGGAACTAAACTTGGATCCTAACCAGAACCACCTCTATAGCCCCACAAACCCTTTTTTTTCCCCCCCGAGGCAGGGTTTCTCTGTAGCTTTGAAGCCTGCCCTGGAACTAGCTCTTGTAGACTAGGCTGGCCTCGAACTCAACAGAGATTCGCCTGCCTCTGCCTCCCGAGTGCTGGGATTAAAGGCGTGTGCCATCACCGCCCAGCAGACCCATGATTCTTAAAGGTACTTTAATCCTCAAACTTTGGTGTTCTGTTTAATTCTTCTTCTTTCTTTGCTATTATTTTTTTCCTGATTTTTGGAGTTCTACACAACTCAAATTACTCCTTTTCCTAGTCACTGTTCTGTTGCTGTGAAGAGACACCATTACCAAGGCAACTCCCTGGTGAATAAGCATTCAGATATATGAGCCTATGGGGGCCATTCTTATTCAATACATGATAACCCCTCAGTTTATTAACCAAAAATAAGTAGTTTCCCTAGAAATTTTAGTAAGTGGTAGAGATAAATGACTCAACCTACCTTCTGCTCTGCCTCCCTACATAGGGTGCATTTAGAATTTATTATTATTGTGTTGTGTGTAGGAGTGTTCATGCCATGGTGTTTCTGGGGAGTTAAGACAACTTTGCAGGATCAGGTCTCTCCTTCAACAATTAGGTGGCTCTGGAAATGGAATTTGGTGTTCTTGGGGATAAAACTCAGCTTGCCAGGCCTGCAAGGCAAAAACCTTTAACCCACTGGACCATGTCATTGACCCTATACACAGTCTTTAAAAAGCTGGTTTTTGAAAACATGAGTAAGATATAATCATAGAATATAGTGAGATTTGAAAAGTATATCTGAAAATGATCTGTGAGCTGGGTCACATTCATGGTGGACCATTGAAGAATGGAGCTTTGACCAGAGAGTCTTGGGCAAGACAGTTGGTATGGGAGGAGAGGTAAGAAACAAAGTTGAAAAACAAGTGTTTGTATGCTCTGCCAAGAGTCTGTCTTATGCAGTATGTCTCCATTAGAAGAACAACATGATCCAATTTGTTATGTATGAACAATTGCTATGGCTAACGGTAGAGGATGAATTTTAGGGGATCCTTCTATGGAGAATTCAACTTCACAAACTTGATTTCAGTGTCAATAGTAGAAATTAAGTCTTGAATCAAACAAACACATATACAGCTCTCTCAGTTCGTACCTTTTGCACAGTAATGAATGAAGACTATTGAAAGCAATGTGTGGAGTTAGAAAAACATAAAAACTACACTTAAAGTGTCTTGTAGTCTGAGAATTAGTCTGGTCAAGCTTAGACCCAGTTTGCAACACATTCATCTTGAATAGGATGGTAAGTGGCATAATGTATGTTTGTATTGGTTTAGGTAGAGTGAGCTGGACAAAGGTAACTGAAATTATATTAGTTAATTTATTTTATTTTTTTAAATTTTATTCATTTTATTGGGCTCAACATTTTTCTCTGCTCCCCTCCCTGCCTCTCCCTTCCCCTTCAACCCTCTTCCAAGATCCCCATGCTCCCAATTTACTCAAGAGATCTTGTCTTTTTCTACTTCCTATATAGATTAGATTTATGTATGTCTCTCGTAGGGTTCTCATTGTTGTCTAGGTTCTTTAGGATTGTGATTTGTAGGTTGGTTTTCTTTGCTTTATGTTTAAAAATCACTTATGAGTGAGTACATGTGATAATTGTCTTTCTGAGTCTGGGTTACCTCACTCAATATGATGTTTTCTAGCTCCGTCCATTTTCCTGCAAAATTTATGCTGTCGTTATTTTTTTCTGTTGTGTAGTACTCCATTGTGTAAATGTACCACATTTCTGTATCCATTCTTTGGTTGAGGTGCATTAACTTGTTTCCAGGTTCTGGCTGTGACAATGCTGCTATGAACATAGTTGAGCACATGTCCTTGTGGCACGACTGAGCATCCTTTGGATATATACCCAAAAGTGGTATTGCTGGGTCTAAAGGAAGGTTGTTTCCTAATTTTCTGAGAAATCACCACACTGAAATCCAAAAGAACTGTACCAGCTTGCTTTCCCACCAGCAATGCAGGAATGTTCCCTTTACCCCACGAGCTCTCCAGCATAAGTTGTCATCAGTGTTAGCCATTCTTACTGTTTAGGAATATTTCCTAATGCAAGCTCTCCGCCTACGCAAAAACCCCAATCAAGCCAAATCACAAGTCGAATTAAAGGATATCCATGTTTAATGGGATTCCTGCACTCTCGGGTGGCCCCAAGGGGAACCTCGAAGCTGCCAAAGTGACTGGGGTGGGGGGGAGAGAATGGGGGAGACTAACCACAAAGGGACTTTCTGAGGAGCAGTTTAAATAGAC